GCAACTTGGCAAGACCTCATCTCTACAATAAATCAAAAAATCAGCCGGGCGTGGTAGCGCATGCCTATAATTCCGGCTACTGAGAAGGATGAGGCAGCAGGATCTCCGAAGCCCAGCAGGTCGAGGCTGCGGTGTCCAGGAGCGGCCACTGCACTCCAGTCTGGGCGATGGAGTGAGACTCCAACTCAAAAAAAAAAAAAAGAAGAATACATACAAAACAAGTGTTAATTGACTGTTTATATCATCAGTAAGGCGTCCAGTCAGTAACAGGCTATTAGTAGTCAAGTTTATGTGGAGTCAAAAGTTATACTGAGATTTTCAACTACATGGGGGTCAGCACCCAACCTCTGCACTATTCAAGGATCAACTGTACTTACATTTAGTATTTTATAAAATTACATAGGTATATTTAATATATTTGTTATATATTTAATTTATAGTGTAATAAGTACTATATATTATACTGTATATTTATGTAGAATATACTGTTATACTATATACTTACATTTAATAAGGGCAAATGCATATAATAATATACATTTAGCAAAGGCAAATTATATACTACATTAAGTCCTGGCAGAATCACTGATATACAACTTGATACAATAATCTATGTTTACAGTAATAAAAATAATGGGCCAGGCGCTGTTACAGTCCCAGCACTTTGGGAGGCTGAGGTGAGAGAACTGCCTGAGCCCATGGGTTCAAGACCAGCCTGGGCAACTTGGCGAGACCTCATCTCTACAACAAATCAAGAAAAATTAGCCCGACGCAATGGCACATGCCTGTAGTTTCAGCTACTTGGAAGGCTGAGGTGGAAGGATCATCTGAGCCCAGCAGGTCAAGGCTGCGGTGGCTGTGAATGTGCCACTGTATTCTAGTCTGAGCAACAGAGTGAGATTCTAACTCAAAAAAATAAAATAAAATAAAAATGATGATTAAGATAGTAAGCACCCACATTACTTTTGACGTGCCAATCACTATTATAAGTACTGAGCCTTTAGTTACTCATTCATAACTCCCAACAACCCTACGAGGGAAGTACTACTATTATTTCATTTTACAGATGAGAAAATAGAGGGATCACATAGCTAAGTAAGTGGCAAAGTTAAGATTTAAACTTGGCAATTGGCTTCAGAGTTCATTTGCTTAACTAGTACATTACATCACCTCTCAGTGAAACTACCAGTCATACATTGGCTGAGCATGGTGGTTCATGCCTGTAATCCCAGCAATGTAGGAGGCTGAGGTGGAAGAATCACTTGAAGCCAGGAGTTTGAGACCAGCCTGGGCAACATAGAGAGATCTAGTCTCTACAAAAAAAATTCAAAAAATTAGCCAGGTGTGGTGGCACATGGAAGGTCAAGGCTACAGTAACCCGTGATTGTGCCAATGAACTACAGACTGAGCAAAAGAGTAAGACTCCGACTAAAAAAAAAAAAAAAAAAAAAAAAAAATCTTAAAAAAATTAAACAATGTTCAATATGCTAAGAAGACAGCAAAATCTACCATTTTTATTCAGTATAAGAATGTTCTTTCGTGACCCACCTGGGCAACTTGGCGAGACCTCATCTCTACAATAAATCAAAAAAATTAGCCAGGTGTGGTAGTGCACGCCTGTAGTTCCAGCTCCTTGGAAGGCTGAGGCGGAAGGATCGCCGGAGCCCAGCAGGTCGAGGCTGCGGTGGCCGGGAGCAGCCACTGCACTCCAGTCTGGGCGACAGAGTGAGACTCCAACTCAAAAAAAAAAAAAGAACGTTCTTTTACAGCCTAACATTTATATAGACTTATAGGAGAAAATCTAGATGTCAAAAAATAGCCCTTTACAATCTGACCCCAATCTGTTATTTCCATCTTATCTATTTCCCGCAATTCTAGTCAAACCAGACTTCTCATGTTCCTTAGCCATACAGAGTCTGCATTTGCATATCACTGGGCTAAAGACCTTTTCTTGACTTCTCTGCCTAGGAAACTCCTACTCATTCTTCAAAAATCCAGTTCAAGTCACAATTCATCTATGCCATTTTCTCTGATGCCACTAGGCAAAACTGTGTTCCCACAGCATTTTTTAATTAATTAATTAATTTGAGACAGATCTCACTATGTTACCCAGGTTGATTTCAAATGCTCCTGCTGCCTCAGCTTGCCGAGTAGTTGAAATTACAAGCATACATGCATGGCTTCCAACACAGCATTTTATACACTCCTCTGTTAAAGCATTCATCATATGACATCATATCTGAATGCTTAACTCTCCTTTTCATCTCCTAGAATTAAAACCTAATTTATAGTATATGATAAATAAAGTTTTCAAGTTTTGGGACATAATGAAAAAAAATTGTTTTTTTAAGAAACTCAACAATACAAAGTAACTAGTTAGCTAAGTGGTCCACATAATCAAAGTTTATTTTAATTTTTAAAAATCATGAAATTTTAATATTTAAAAGTAGAAGTTACAAAGGTTTCAACAAATTAAATTCAGTAACCAGAATCTTTTTAAGAAGAAAAGACTGATTTTCTGGACTACACCTAAGTAATTTGATGCAGTGAAGGTAATGTGGATAATGATGTGGGCAAAATTTTAACTGAGAGCTAGGACTGCCAGAATCTAAGCCAACAGAGCCAAAGAAAAGGTAGACATTAAGGATATAATTTAGTAAGTCACTGCTCAAACCATGCATGGCAATCTAATGCCTTTGGAAATTACTGTTCCTCAGAATTCAAGTCATTCCTTGAGAGTAATTTACTCACTAAAAAATTCTAGTGGAATTTTTATTACTAATTCTAGATGAGTTACTATTTACAAACAACTGGACAAAATCAAACACAACTACATCAACTTGACACAGTTAACTTATTTCTCTCCCAGTATGTAATTTTCAACAGCCAAGCTAACAACACGTAGGACGGCCTATAATTTTTAGTATTTAACTAGGACAAAAGACTACATAGTGGTCCACCAAGCATTTAGTGAATTAACTGCATTTGCCTCTGCCTATTCTACTTGAAAAGTTACTTTTACCCACAAAGGAAGTATCATTTTACTTGGCTTTATTTTTTAACAAGTTATCTAAACTACTGGCTTATTTTGTTCCCCTTATTGACTCATACTTTTTTATTTTTTTAAATTTTATTTTGAAGAGATGAGGTCTCATTATGTTGCCCAGGCTAGTCTCAAACTCCTGGGCTCAAGCAATCTGGCCTCCCAAATTGCTGGGATTACAGGCATAAGCCACCATGCCCAGCCTTTTCTCCCGTACTTAAAATTTACCTAATATGCTATATCTTCTAGCAAGGTCTGCCTTTCTTGTTATTTATTCCCAACCTCAGCTTAACATCAACCTTCTTTCTTTCAAACTGTCACCTACTCACAAGACTTTCATGATCTTCAGGGTCTCCAAATGACCTACTACTGCACCACCACATTTTCACGACTAGAAAGTTACTTATTTTTTCAGAGGTAAACAAATCTATCAGGACTAGGGATAGCACAATGTCCTCCAAGGAAGCATTTTATAAAAAATACACCTTTAAACCAAAAGTCAACTTTCCATTGCTACCACCATAAAATTAAAACCAACTCAACTACTTCTATGTGTTACCCATTCAGGTAGTCACAGACCTACATTAATATTTGTGTACTATTTCTCCATTACCTAGGCTGAGAATTCTCCTCATACATTCTTTCTTTCCCCTCCTTGAAGAGGCTTATGGTTTGCTTAGTTTTCTTCATCAAATTCTCCATGAACACCCTAAAATACTCATTTTCTCCAAGTGTCTCCATCTTCCCCTCATATCTTGACAAGATAGTACGGAGATGCTGGTAGGTATCTGGCAGCAGGTCTAAGATATAAGGTGGGCTATTCTTTAGCGCCAGCTTTGGGTTCTGACATAACCGCACCACCTGCAACAAATGGAAAAGAAGGGCTATTACTTGGAGAATCTTAAGGACAATTTCTTCTTTTAAATTTAAAAAAGTTATGAAATATGTGCTCTTTAGCATAACTATGAAAAATACATGAGAAAATATTAGATGATCCATAACCCCATTGCCCACAGGCAATCACTTAACATTTTTAGTGGCCCCCCTAGAAGGCTGGGTTCTGAAAATCCCATGACAGACTAATGGTGCAGATAACACATAGAAGACTAAACAACTAAGGAGAAAACATCCTTACTTATGCCTAAAACATGCTAGATGAAACGTGGCAAATCATTTTTAAATACATAGCTGGCTCCACAATAAAGAAAACTCCCAAGGGCAGAAACAAAGGCCATGGCTGCCCTGGGAGGTATCTATCTATAATCTAGGGACTTGAACGTTAACAATTTCTAGAGGACAAGAGCAGAGAGACCTTGGACCCAGCAAAGCATGGAGTTAAACTGAGACAACCATTACTTCCTATATAAATAAAGGACTCAAGAATTTGCCTAGTAATTCTTTTCCCCATCTTTTACTTTCAACTATTATGAGTTCTTATGTTTTAAGCAGGTTTCTTAAAGAACATATAGCTAGATTTAAAAATCCAACGTAACAATCTTTGTCTTCTAACTCGTGAGTTTAGTCCTTTCTTTTTTGAGACAGGGTCTCACTCTGTTGCCCAGACTGGGAAGCAATGGTGTGATCATAGTTTGTTGCAGCAACGAATTCCTGGGCTCAAGCAATCATCCAGCCTTCACTCTCTGAGTAGCTATATTACAGGTATGCACCAACACGCCCCACTAATTTCAAAAACTCTTTATAGAGACAGGGTCTTGCTTTTGTCACCCACGCTGGTCTTGAACTCCTGAGCTCTAGTGATGCTACTGCCTCAGCCTCCCAAAGTGCTAGGATTACATGCATGAATCACCACATCTGACTTAGTCCTTTCTACATTTGTTACGATGACTGGTAATGATGACTGATAACGTATTTATTTCTACCACCTTGTTTGAGCTTTCTATTTATATTCACATTTCTATTTACATTTACATTTCTATTTATTTACATTTACATGGATTTTTTTGTGTGTCTGGAAAAGACAAACTAGTAGAAAAGTCCAGAAATAAACCTACACATACATAGACCCTTGCATTATGACAAAGGAGTGGTAATTTCCCAAAAATGATAGTGGAACAACTGAGTATCCATATGGGTAAAAAAGAAATCAAACTAAACTCTCCTCTTACTCTATATTAAAATTAATTAGTTAATTCCAGGTGGATTATAAACCTAAATATGAAAGGTAAATCTAGAAAGCTTTAGAAGACAATATTAAAAAATTATCAGCCGGGCTCGGTGGCTCAGCCTGTAATCCCGCGTCTTTGGGAGGCTGAGGTGAGTGGACTGCCTGAGCCCGAAGGTTCAAGACCCGCCTGGGC